CTGGCTTCCTATGCTGCCCCAGCCTTCTGGGAGGTCCCTTTCTGGGCCTCATTTTCCTCGATTGTGGCACAAAGGCTAGACAAAATCTAAAATCCTTTCTGGCCATCCATAAGTCTGTCCAGACACTCTGAATTCTCTCTGAATCCAGGGAAAATTTCATATTCTCCTAAATAGTATCTTGTGCTGGCTTAAAAATGTGTTGACGATATATCCGTCAATGTGAAGAAATGCTTGGGCTGGGGCGTGGGGCTGGGCCAAGTGTTTCTAGGAGATCAACTGGATTCCAGCCAACCAGATGCGGGATAGGAATGTGTGTGCCTGTGAAACCAGGAGACCTCCTGGTCGAGAGGAGACACAGGGAGCCACACGGGCAAGGACAGAGACCCCGGCCTGAGGACAGAGAGCGAGACGCCTGCTGCCACCGCCACCAGGCCGCACTCACAGCAGAGCACACCGGGTGGCGATCCCAGCTGAGCGTTGCTGCTGTTTTACAGTAATCTTCTCTGAGATGTTTGGATGTGTCCCAGGCTTCCATGATCCTTGGATTCCTGGAGGAAGAAGGGGGATGGGGAGAAATTATTGTCCAGCAGACCAGCTGTCCTCGCTCCCCAAATATTTGCTTCCAGGCCAGCCAGATTCCCAGTGGGGAGCCGCATGGCTCCCGAGCTTGGCTTGGCCAGTTACCCGGCCAGACGTGGTGCTCCCNCTGCCCCCTTGGCAGGTCAGGAGGAGCAGTGTCTTGGGTGGTGAGGGAGATGCTGTCCCCAGCCCAGCAGAAGCCCATCCCTTCGTCCCGCACCGAGAGCCGAGAGCCAGCGCCTGCGGCCTCACTCCTTAGGAAGACGAGCCGGTCTCAGAGCATGCAGACTTACTGTCACAAGGGCTACGTGGCTGGTTCTGTGGGATCACTTATGGGCTCATGTCCTTGGACACTGTGGGGCCCACCGGGGCAGGACGGGGGTGAATGCCTGAGTGAACAGCTTTCATCCCCAAACCCCGACACTGGCACTGACCGCAGCAGCACCGGCCTCTCTACCCTCTTCCTCCTCTGGGGGCTGGAGGTCAGGTGCACACGTGTTGGGAGGACCCTGTCCTGTCCTTGGGGGGCTTGGAGCCACTGGGCAGCCGTGGGCAGGGAGTCGAAGAATGAGGTGCAGCAGAGGTGGTGGTGAGGTGCTGGCCAGGGAATCCTGTCCTTGGTGACCACCACCCTCTCCTAAGGGCCCAAGAGAGGTGTGGATAGAAGAGAGCAGAGGCTTTGGTCCATGTGACAGTTTTTGCTGATCATGTCCCTCAAAGTGGCCCAGGCCACACACTCCCGGGTGGTGTGAGTCTAGGACATGGTGGCCTTCCCATTCCCTGGCCAGAAACTAGGGGGTGTCACTCAGCTGCTGCAGGATGTGAGGCTGCAGAGGCGAGGGCTGGTGGCTGCCTTTTGCCCCATGGTGAGCCTCGCAGGTGGGCGGTAGGTGGGAGCGTGGTCAGCCACAAATGCCAGGGGTCTTGGGGACCACAGCCTCCAGCAGAGCTGGGAGCCAGCAGCCTGGCTTCCTATGCTGCCCCAGCCTTCTGGGAGGTCCCTTTCTGGGCCTCATTTTCCTCGATTGTGGCACAAAGGCTAGACAAAATCTAAAATCCTTTCTGGCCATCCATAAGTCTGTCCAGACACTCTGAATTCTCTCTGAATCCAGGGAAAATTTCATATTCTCCTAAATAGTATCTTGTGCTGGCTTAAAAATGTGTTGACGATATATCC